TACATATATATATATATGCATGCATGCATACATACATGCATACAAGCACACGTACACACATACATGCATACACACATGCATACATACATACATACATACATACATACATACATACATACATACGTACGTACGTACGTACGTACGTACGTACGTACGTACATACATACATACATACATACATACATACATACATACATACATACATGCATGCATGCATGCATGCATACATACATACATACATACATTACATGCACGCATGCATGCATGCATACATACATACACACATACACACATACAGCATACATGCGTGCATGCGTAGATGCAGACATGCATGTATGTATGCATACACAATCGCGTACATCTATACGTACACACATACACACATACATACATATATACATACATACATACGTACGTACACACATACATACATACATACATACATGTATGCGTACATACAGGCATACATACAGGCATACATGCATGCATCCACAAATACATACAAACATACATGCATACGTACATGCACACATGCATACATACACACATGCACACATACATACACACACGTACACGCATCCAGCAGACATACATGCGTACATACAGGCATGCATGTATGCACGCATGCATGCACACATGTACATATATAATTACACACATACACACATACATACATACATACATACATACATACATACATACATACATACATACACACATACATGCATGCATGCATACATACGTACATACATACATGCATACATACATACATGCATACATACATACGTGCATGTATACACACATGCATGCAGCAGACATACGTACATACATGCATATGTACATACATACATACATGCAGCTGTACGTACACACGTACATGCATGAAACATACACAGACGTACATACGCACACACGTACAGACATACATGCAATCACAAATACCGACTTACATATATGTTTACATGCATTCACACATGCATGCATGCATGCATGCATGCATGTATGCACGCCTGCGTGCATACATACATACATACATACATACATACATACATACATACATACATACATACATGCATGTGCATGTGCATGCACGTATGCACGCGTGCATGCATGCATGCATACATACATACACATATACATGCACACATACACCGGCACATACATACATATATACTAGAACCATCGCGCGCGCTTCGCGCGCGCTCAGGTTCTAGCCCAGGCCGGGGGGGCGCTGGACGATCTTGGACAACGCTATCAAGCACAGGCGCGCGACGGCATCTGAGGAGCTTCTGGGGTGTTTCGAATGCTTCGTCAACTGGTTGTTGGAGGCACCTCTTGGGTGCTTCTTGGGGGGCGTCTGAGGGTCCCTTGGGGGCATCGGTTCTGCAATCTGAAGCCGTCATTGGCCGTCTTGGCTGCGTGGAGGCCCGACTTGAGGCCGCCTGCGGCCAGATTGAGGCAATCCGGAAGCCTCCAGGGGGCCTACTGGAAGCAGTTTTGACGCATCGAGGGCACTCTTGGGCTATTTTCAAGCCTCTTGGACGTCTCCTAGGGGCCTCTTTTAGGCCCTCTGGAAGCTTTTGGGGTCCTCGTCGGACCACTTGGGGGCCTCTTGCAGCCTCCTGTGGGCCTTGTGGGGTGACCGCTCTGCTGTTGGGTCGCGTTCCCCTTCTCGGGCCTCTCTTGGGGCTCTTAGGGCCCTCTCGGGCCGTCTTGGGCGCCTCAAGCACCGTCTTGGGGCCCTCGCGGGCCGTCTTGGGGCCCTCTTGGAGGCCTCTTCCTCCATGTGGGAGCGGTACTGGAAGCCTCTTGGGCCGTCTTGGAGCATCGGGATGCCGAACGGCCGAAAAAAATGAAACCCGTCAAAGCCCAATCGAAAAACAATGAGTTGTGCCTCTTGGGGCCACCTTGGGAGATCTCTTGGAACCTCGTCGGCCCTCTTGAGAGCTTCTTCGGGGCCTCTTGGATCCGATTGGGGGCCTCTTGGGACTTCCCGAGAGCCTCTCGGGGTAGAAAGCTCGGATTCTCGGTTCGTGTTTCCCTTCTTGGGCCTCTCTTGGGGCCGTCTTGGGGCCCTCTCGGGCCGTCTTGGGCGCCTCAGGCACCGCCTTGGGGCCCTCGTGGGCCGCCCAGGGCCCTCTTGGAAGCCTCTTCGGCTATCTTGGAGCTGTCTTGGAGGCCTCTTCCTCCTCCTCGTCCCCCTCCTCCTCCTCCCACTCCAGCTCTCTCTCCTCCTGATCTTCCTCCTCCTCCTCCTCCTCCTGCAGCGTGTTCCGGAAGGCTCCCGCCAGAACATGCTGTGCACAAGTGCTGTCACTGCTCCCGCCACCGTGCCCTGGGTGGTGGGTCAGAGGCCTCATGGGTGTTGGTTTGGATCTCGTGGTTGGCCTGTCGGGGACGTCGTGAAGGCAATTTCGCAGCTTCTCGGTAGCCGTTTTGGGACCGTTGTGGGCCTCCTCGGGGCTGTTTTGTGGCCTCTTTAGGCCTCGTTTGGGCCTCCTGGGTGCCTCTTGGGGGCCTCCTGGGGCCTCTTGGGGGCTCCTTGGGGGACTCCTGGGGCACTCTTCAAGCGGGAGGGTCGAATTTGGGAGTCGTGGTCCCCCTCTTGGGCGCATCTTGGGGCCGTCTTGGGGCTCTGTTGGGCTGTCTTGGGCGACTCTGGGGCCGTCTTGGGGCCCTCTCGGGCCGTCTTGGGGCGCTCTTGGGGGCCTATGGAGCCGTCTTGGAACGTCGGACAGCCGAAAAGGCTGGAAGGACAACATCGTTCGAAAACCTTCGTAAAATCGACGATTTCGGCCTCTTGAAGCGCTCTGGAGAGGCGTCTTGAAGCGTCGTGGAGTGCCTTGGGGGGCCTCGCGGGCCGTCTTGGGCTTATCTTGGGCGTCCTGGAGCGGTCTTTCGGCGACTCGGGGCCCGCTTGGGCCGTCTTGGGAGCCTCTGGAGGCCCTCCTGAACTATTTTGGACCTCCCCGGCCGCCCCGTCCTCCCATGGGGGGTCGGAGGCGGCGGCCTCCGAGGCCCAGAACGCGGAAGCCCTGTAAAAACACAGGGAAATGAGCCCCGGTCCCGCCATGGGGGGTGGAGGCACCTGTCCTGGGGCCCCCGGCCTCGCCCCCAGGGATATATATATATATATATATATATATATATATATATATATATATAATATATATATATATATATATATGCACAGTCTATGAGGTGCAGTGTATGTGGCTGTTTGTGCAATCCATGTGGCGCAATATGTGCTGTAAGCGGTCAAAAAGGGCACCGCCTTTTGTTGTCCGCGCGATCTATGTGGCGCAATCCAACGGCGGCGAAGGGCGCAGGCGGCGATGAGGCGGCGACGGGGCGGTCACGGCGGCCACATAGCCGCCAGACCGAAGACACAGCACGGACGACGGGTGGCGACGTGGCGGCGACGGCGGCCACCGAAGACACGGCCCAGTTCCTCAGAACGAAAGAATCCCTAAGCGCAAGCACTGCTTGGGGAAAACATGTACGTGAACATCTCTGTACGCACAGGTGTACACAGATGCCAGATTCGAAAGTAAATGATATATAGATGTGTAAATATATACACGTATATATATATATGTATATAAACATATGTACGTGCCCCAGGCCCCTCAACTCATGGAAGTGCTGGGCGTGTCTTCGCGCTCCAGGGCTTTCTTCCCTGATTATTCCAAAAAGTTTGGGGAGCGTGGTTCGGAATCTAAGCTTCCAACATGCTCGAAGACGGTCCTGGGGAAACTGGGGGGGGGGCGCACTGGCCTGGCGGCTGGCCGAGGAGCCAAAATCGAGACAACAAAAAACAAAAAAAAGGTTCAACGTATGGGTTCTTCGCATGATCTTTTCTTTCTGCCATCTCTCTATACCTCTCCTTCTCTTGCTCTGTATACCCTTCGTGTCCCTTCTCTTCGGGACCCGCACCGCTCGCGTGCCGAGGACAGCGAGGCCCACGTCGCCCCCTTGCAGATCCTGCACTCGTAGGGTCAGCCATTGGGCTCCGCCCGGAGGGGCCCATGCAGGCGCGCGTGCAGCCATGCCCGCATCGAGTCAAAAGCCGCCCTTCCTCCTCCCTACCCAATCCCCCTCCCCCACCCTCCTACCAGGAGGGACGGGAAGCAAGGGGAGGGCGAAGAGGAAGCGGGGAGGGAGTGGGAGCGGCGGCAAAGCCGACGGCGACGGCGGCAACGACGCGACAACGACGGCGGCGGCGGCGGCGGCGGCGGCGGCGGCGGCGGCGGCGACGACGACGACGACGACGACGACGACGACGACGACGACGACGACGACGACGACGACGACGACGACGACGACGACGGCAGCGGCGGCAGCGGCGGCGGCGGCAACAACAATTAGATGCTCGTTCTGGGGGCCTTCCTGGAGCCACTCGCTCCACTCATGCGTCGATGCTGCGTGGAACCTGCGTCGACTTGAATCGACCTTGCGTAGAAAGTGCACGAACTTGGCGCCGAGCTGGAGAGCCGAACTGGAGCCGAAGCGGGAGCCGAGCTGGAGCCGAACGGCTCCGCTGGGCCGCACTGGATCGAAGAGCCCCGCCGAGGCCGACACCTGGAGCCGAGCTCGAGCCGAGCCGGAGCCGAACAGCCGCCCTTGGGGTCGGGCGAGAGGGGGGGATAGCAAAGGGGGGGGTTGGAGAGTCAGCTCACGCAGCTGCTTTCCTCGGCGCCTCCCGGCGCCGGAGGCGGCCATGTATCGAGAAACGGGCCCCTCGGTGAGGCCGAAACCAGCTGCATGCAGCAAATTTCGTACCCCCCCCTTTCTCGGGGATGGACAGACACCCCTTTAGTAAAACGTGGTTTAGTGAAAACGACCTGAGGCCCAAACCTGGCGGGCGCAAGCCTGGAAAATAACGGCCACGGCGCCCTCTCGAGAACCGAAAACGGACAATTCACCAATCGACGTGTCACTGTGGGGGGTTCTGTCCACCCCCGACCTCTCCCAATCCCCCCCTTTCGTCCGGCCCGAGCCCTGTGCCGGCGACGGCGGGCGCGCCTCCGCTCCCGCCTGCAGGGCCCAGGGCGTCAGCGCCAGCCCGGCGGGCTCCACGGCCTCGCCCGCAGCTCCTCGCGAGGCAGGCCGTGAGCCCCGCGGCCGTGCGCGAGGCCGCCCGCGCGGGAGGCCGGCGGCCTCCCGAGGCCCTCGGATGAGCCTCCAGCGGCCCATCGGAGCCCCGCGGGGGGGGGCCTCCCGCGGGGGGCTCCTGGAGGCCCTGGGAGGCCTCCGAGGGGGGCCTCCAGAGGCCCTTTGAGCAGGAGATCGACTGCAGAACTGATCCACCCCAAGAATTGACTTCCACGTCGAATCTCAAACAAACTCACGTAGAATATTCATAAATGTGCGAAAGGCCCACAAATTGTCCGTGGATTCGAAAGGAAAATCAATTCTGGGGTAAATCAGTTCTGTAGTCGATCCCCTACTCGAGCCCTCGGAGGCCGTCGGAGGCCTCTGCGGGGGGACTCCGGGAGCCTCCAGGGGCCTCCCCCTGGGGCCGTCGGGAGGTCCTCGGGAGCCCTCGGAAGCCGTCGGGAGCCTGCGGGGGGCTTCCAGAGGCCCTCGGAAGCTTCCAGGGGCCGTCGGGAGGCCCTCGGATGCCACCAGAGACCCCAGGAGGAGGCGCGAGCGCGGCGAGCAGGAGGAGACGAGGGGGGGAGGGGGGGAGGGGGAGGAGAGGGATTAGGCCAGGCGTGTCCTCCTGCAGGCGGATTTTAGATGCAACATAAAAAATCAAAAACTACACACAACAGAAAATCAAAATTAGTCAAACGATCGTCCCCTGACATTTTTTAACCATTTTTGAACATTCCTCCTGTAGATGACTGCCTACCAGACCACCCCAACCCAACCCGAAGACCCGAATTTCGGGTGGGGGGGGGTACGGGTTCCGTGTGTGTTTTCTCGACGTTCCCCGACCCCCCCACACTGGAAATGGAGGTAGATTTGAGGCCTTCGGGTTGGGTTGGGGTGATTTGGTAGGTGGTGGTGAGTAGAGGGACAGGCCCGACTTCAGAGAGGGAGCTCGGGAGGGGGCGCAGCTGATGGAGTCGCCGAACTCGACCGAGACTCCCCCCGAGCCGACAGCCACGTTGGGGCGCGGGGCGTCGCCCTTCCCGCTGGGGGGGCCCAGAGGCCTCGCTGGCTGGGGACCCCCGCAGTAGAACGACAACAACTTCAGGTGGACGAGTTCTTATTCTAGGGGGGAAACGAACCTACCTCGCTTTTGACCACCCTCGCTTCCAAGAGATACCAAACGATGCCAAACTGCGGCCTGTACTGGTCAGGCCGCTTGACGAGGAGGCGCGTGGTATGACTTGATTTCGCCTGGAAGCGAAAGCGGGGTAGGTAATTCACGCTCCGATATTCGGCGTTTCGACATTGGGCTTAGGTCGGGCCTGTCCCCCTACAGGGGGAGGTCGGACGAAAAGTACAACATGGTGAAAAATGCCCAGAAACGATCTTCACAAAAGTTCCCAAAAAAATCGTCCCCCGACTAATTTGTGACTATGTCTGACTGCTCCTCCTGTGGAGGGACAGGCCCGACTCAACATTGGGCGGAAGGGGGGGGGGAGGGGGGAGGGGGGCCTGGCTCCGGACCTCTGCTCAGTGCGACTGTTTGCAAGCGTGCGTCCTATGGGGGAGGCTCCGCCTGCTCGAAACAGGCTCCAAAAACAACCCAGATCTAATCTTAAGTCGGGCGCGTCCCTCTACAGGGGGATTTTCGACAAAAAATACAAAATACCCAGAAAAAAATCAAAAATTAGTCCAAAAATAGTCTGGGGACTATTTTTGATAATGTTTTGACCTTCCTGGGGTATTTTTGGTAATCCTTGGGGGGGAGGGGGGGGGAGAGAAAAATGTCTTCACCGGCCGGATGGAACCCTTCACCGGCCAGATGGGACCCTTCACCGGCTGACCGACTGACCGGCTGGTCGGCTGCCCGGCTTCACCGTCTGACCTCGCCTCGCCGGTACGCACATGCTTGTTGGACGCAGAACTCTGTGCACGCCGGCAAGGAGTCCTACCGGAACCTGTGGATTACTAGCGAATCCTACCGAAACCTTCGGATTACTAGCGAATCCGACCGAAACCTTTGGATTGCTAGCGAATCCTAGCGATCCATGGGAAGACGTTGGAGCCCCATGGAAATCCGAGAAACGCCCCAACCTCTGGGAAAACATGGAAGCCCTCAGGGGGCTCATCATCATCATCATCATCATCATCATCATCATCATCACCACCACCACCACCATCATCATCATCATCATCATCATCATCGTCATCATCATCATCAGCATCATTATCGTCAGCATCATCGTCAGCATCATCATTATCATCATCGTCACCGACATCATCATCATCATAGTCATCGTCATCATCATCAGCACCACCATCACCATCACCATCTCCATAATTATCCTCATCATTATCATCGTCGTCAGGATCGTCAACATTATCATCATCAACATCATCATCGACATTATCAGCATCAACATCAGAATCAACATCATCATCGTCATCATTGTCATCATGATAAACATCACCGTCATCATCATCATGATCCGCATCATCGCCATCACCATCATCATCATCGGTACCATCATCGTCATCATCATTCGCACCAGCATCAGCATCATCATCATCGTCATCCTCATCCTCCTCGTCATCGTCATCATCGTAATCGCCATCGTCGCCATACGCATCATGATCGTCGTCGTCGTCATCACCATCGCAATCATCGTCATCACCACCAGAACAATCTTCATCATCGTCGTCGTCGTCGTCATCGGCATCATCATGGTCATCGTCACCAGCATCGTCATCATCATCATCATCGTCGTCATGGCCATCGCCATCATACGCTATCATCATCATCGTCATCACCATGCCGATCACAGTTTGCCCGCCTCGAAGCTTCTCCTGCTCCTGATCATCTTGTTATGCTAATGATCAGGTGTTGAAATGGCGCGACGGCGGGAATTGCCGCAGGCAGCTGCGCGGCATGGAACATCATTCTATGCCATCACACAGAAGGCAAAACAGCCATGTGCCAAAGTTTACCCATCCAGTGTGCCTGTTGAAATATGGTTATGTACATGTATCGCATGCTTACATGAGGTACCCTTTGGCATGATACCTTACCTTGGGGAGAATTCCACCGACATCCCCTCCCTATTCTTCCTACTCTTTCCTGCTCCTACGCATCCTCTTCCTCCTCCTCTTCCTCCTCCCACCATGCATGCCACGTTGGTACACGACCAGAATTGCTCTCTTCACCAGCCCCAAAAAAACAACAAAAAACAATTAATTGCAGAAGCGGTTGTGGCAACCCTTAGCATTCCACACTCGTTCTTGGTGGCGTACACGCGAACACTACAATCAATTTTCAATTGAAAGACGTAGCCAGTGAAACACCCAATCAGCCGGTGAACGGATCAGCCGGTGAAGGGTCCCATCTGGCCGGTGAAGGGTCACACTTGGCCGGTGAAGAGACCAATAGCGGGGGGGGGAGGGCCCGCGCTGATCGGCAAAGCAATGAAGAAAGAAAACGATCACCAGAGGGGCCCGATGCACAAGAGACCTTCCACGAGAAGCCCAGCCCTGAGACCCCAGGACGTCCATGGATTTTTGGTGCGGGAACTTCACTCTGTCCATCGCGAAGCCATCGAGGCTCAGGAGATCCAGGGCACCCTGGAGGCGAGCAGGGTGCTCCTTGGTTCTTGGCACGGGCCTCCACTGTACAGCACCCTGGCGCCGATGTGGGCTAAGCCAAGCCGACCCTGCTCCCACACTGCCCCCCCTCAGAAAATGCAACTTGAGTCGTCGATCTCCCTGCTTTCGCCGTCGAGGCTTCGGTGCCCCTGGCCTCCGGAGACGGGCCTTCGGTCCCGGGGCCGTCGGAGGCGGACCCGGGCGGGGGAAAGCTGCCCCGAGGAAGCAGTAAAGTCCCCCGGGCGGTGCTTCGCCGCGCGACCTGCACGGGGCGCACGACTCTTGCAGGGGGGGTGCAGGCTCGGCGCACGTGGGTGTCCAGGCCAGGAGGCTGCCGATCCCGGGCCGCCTGGCCGGGATCGGCGCTCCTTCGCCCCCCTCCTCCCTCCTCGCCCTGGTCCTCCTCCTCCCGCCTCCCTCCCGGGTTTGCGAGCGTCTTTGCGTCCTGCATGGCCGGCGGGGTGCGACCAGGCAGGGTCGAAAACTTGTTTGATTCGCGGGTCGAGAGCGCACCTCTTCCGGTCGAAGCTAAGCGGGCCGCGCGAAGCTTGAATTAACAAAGAGGGGGGATAGAAGGAGAGGCCTCACGGTCAGGCCAGGAGGAGGCAAAGCCTCGGGATCTGGCGGTGCAAGCAGGGTCGAAAACACTCGGTCTCGATTTTGCTAGACACTGTACAAAGCAAATATTACAACAACCCTGAACAGAGCAGAGCCCCTGCTCTGCTGCGATAAGTTAATAATAAAAAATACGTTGGATCCCTGGGGACGCGGCTGGGTCGCACTCCAGCGGTTCGACATCCCTGGATCACCGCACGCAGCTACGAACTCTTGGGTGATCTGCGCAGGGCCGGCCCCATCCGGGCCCCGAGGTGCCGAGTGTCGACTTTCGAGCGGAACCGCCTTCGAAGTGGGGGAAAAACTTCGAGATGATTGTGCTGAGGGGAAGCAGCAGCAGCGCCTGAGATCCTGGCGCCTCAATTTTCCGAGCAAGCCGTCTTCGCCGGATTGCGGGCCCGGGACCATGACAGATCGATCCGGCTCGAAAAACGGCGCAGAAGGAGGGGCTCTGGGGCTCCATTCGTGATGTTTGCTGTGCTTCAGCTCTTCCGCGACGTCAGACCGAAGCAGGGAAGGGCAACGATGCTGGTTATAGCCAGGCCCCCTGGGCTGCCAGAAACTGCAGCTGCTATGACAGTTCACCGGGTGCGCACGGAGCGGGAAGCCAGCCCACAGCCCGGGCCGCCACTCAGAAGCGGGAGAGGGGCCGCGAGCCTCCGCCCGATCCTGCTCCTGCTCCTGCTGGTCCTCCTCCTCCTCCCCCTCCCCCTCCCCCTCCTCCTCCTCCTCCCCCTCCCCT